CCATCATACATTTTCACCATGTTGCCTATAGGCACTTTTTTTGCAGTGTTAACATCATCCTCATCATCCCTATTATCACAGTTACCTTGATTCAGAACCATTTTGGCTATTTCACCATTGATCAATATGAACAACTGGAGCCTCATTATCAATGTTAAAAACTCTTCAATATACGCCTCTTCCAGCTTACTGGTGGACTCTAAGGGTATACTCTTTGCATACGTAAGGAGGTCAGACATTTTTTCTCACTTGACATGTGGAATCTTTCAAAGTCACCACCATATTTATCATCATCACTGAACATAGTTGTAGACCAGAGACTGTGTCAGGTCTGCAAAACTGTGTCTTTAGTCACTGTGTTCCAAGCCTTGGCAACAGCTTATCTGTCATCCTTCATGATAAACGCCTTATGAAAACCTTCCACACCTGTATCTTAGTTCACTGTTGATAACAGACTGTTCAAGGAAGTGTTTTTATATTTAATCTTGATTGATCTAAGCATACCCTGGTCACAAGGCTGAATTAGGAAGTCACACTTCAAGGGAAGGACCTGGCACAATCTCATAAATTATTATTTATGAGAATTTCAGCTAGAAAATGAGCGGAACAGTTGTTAGGAAATAACAAAATCTTGCAGGCATTATCCAGTCCAGCTTCCCCGCAATCAACACAAGCCTCTGGTACAAAATGTTTGTGAAACCAATAAGAAAAGATATTCCTGGTGATCCATGCTTTTTTGTTGGCAGAACAATGGACTGGTAAGATACTCACTCTTTGAAAACAGCACAAAATGTTGCCTATCACAGCAAGTTTACACTGATATGTGCCTGCTGTATGAGCACATCGCAGCGGGGTTATTCTGTCCTTGGAATCTTTAATTCTTGTACAGGGTGCCTCATCCGCTGTAGTCAGTTTCATTCTGGTATAAGGAGGCCAAAGTAGTGATGTTTATTCAGCATTATAGGCTTGTTCCTGAGTCAGATTTTTATCACTGATGACCTTGGCAAACTTGTCAATGAATTTCTCTGCTGCCTTGTGATCAGCAGATGCTTTATCATCAACAATCTTTTAAAAAGTAGTGCTGTGTCTTTTTTTTTTTTTTTTTTTTTTTTTTTTGAGATGGTGTCTAGCTCTGTCACCAGGCTGGAGTGCAATGGCACAATCTCGGCTCACTGCAGCCTCTGCCTCCCAGGTTCAAGCGATTCTCCTGCCTCAGCCTCCCGAGTAGCTGGGACGACAGGCACGTGCCACCATGCCCAGATAATTTTTGTATTTTTAGTAGTGATGGGGTTTCATCATGTATGCCAGGATTGTCTCGATCTCTTGACCTCGTGATCCACCAACCTCGGCCTCCCAAAGTGCTGGGATTACAGGCGTGAGCCACTGTGCCCAGCCAACTATGTTTTTTCTTAAATTTCCACTACCATCCTGCTGAATATTCACAATTCTCTTCCACTTTCAGTTTATCACGGTAGATTTTTGCTTGTTTCACGATCAGTGTACCATTACACATGTGTTCACTACAACACTCGTGGATCGACACTTCCAATATTCAATCAAGGTCTTTATTTTAAGCTTTATGCAGTGTTTTTCTATTTTTCATTAATGTCTGTCCATCACTTGCAGTATGGAACTTCAACAGCTTATTCTTCTCTTTCTTTAGGTCTTACAGTGACATATGTCATTCCAATACCATACTCATCTGTAAGATGTTTCATACTTACACTGCTGTTCAGTTTCTCAACCAGCTTGACTTTCTGTGCTATAGATAAACATAAATGCCCTCTCTTTCTCTTATCACTGTTATCTAGAGGGGTACCTTCGGGCCTTTTTGATATTTTCAACAACACCTTTACACCACAGAGGAGAGAATACACAAAAACCACTGTGAGTAATGCATATAGATCTTGGGCCCACTTGGGGCATCATGGGGAACCTGTCATTGGTTTGTCCAACCTGTACACATGCCATTTTATTATTTTGTGGACATGCTTGTTGAGGAAAACTGGGCAGGTGTGGAAAAAAATATACCACAGCTGAAGGCAGCTGCAAAGGTCATTTTTCCCTTGAGGATACTGAAAAATCTATGTATTGTGCACCTGCATTTTGACTGTGACCAATCACATGAGGTCAGGCATGAAATTTTTCACTTGTTGCATTATGTTGGTGCTCAAAAAAAATTGGATTTTGGAGAATTGGTGATTTCAGATTACAGATGCTCAAACTGTGTCTATCTTTTTTATTTTAGCCATCCCAGTATATGTGATTTGGTATCTCATTGTGGTTTTGATTCAATTTCCCTGATAACTAATTTGAATCTTTTTTCTTGTGTACATATTTTTATTTGTTTCTATATTGCAGATATGTCTATTTACATCTTTTGTTTGTGTTTTAGTTGGGACTTTTATCTTTTTGTTGTTGACTTATAAGTGTTCTTTACGTATTCTCGATTAAGTTCTTTATCATACCTATAATTTGCAAATATTTTCTCCTATTCTTTGAGTGGTCTTTTTACTTTATCAATGCTGTCTTTTGAAACCAAGTTTTTATTTTGATGAGGACGGATTCATTTACTTCTTTGTGCATTTGGTGTTCTATTTAAAAAAAGCATTACCTAATCCAAAGTCTTGAATATTTATTCTTATGTTTCCTTCTGGTAATTTTTATAGTTTATTACATTTATGTCTCTGATCCATGTTGAATAATATTTGTATATGATGTATGGTAGGGGTTTAACTTCATTCTTCTGCATGTAGAGATCCATTTGTTCCAGCACCATTTATTGAAAAGACTATTCTAGTTGATGTCTACATTTGTTTGCATATCATCCATGAAGTATGCATATGTTTAACATAATGTATAAAGAAATATGCTGAAAGTACACATATTATTATAAATTCCATAATCTTTTGGCAAACTAAAAAGTTCTAGGCTAAAATTTTAATGAATGTCTTATCGTCAGTGGAATAATATACCACCAAGGTTAGTAAAAAGTTATTTTCCATCACTATCTATGACTCTTGGCAAGTTAGCTCTATTTAGAAATTCTTCTATTCTGTTTTTCCCTTGTCAACTGGATTGTGGCCTAGATTTACCAATGAGAGGCATTCATGTGAGAAACAGAGAGCTTAAGAGAGGCTAAAAATGTCTTATTGCTCTTGGGGCATCAGTGGGATATATGTGAGCTTCAGCAGATATGAAGTTTTGAAACGGCTTCTGGGAATTCTCCTAAAACTTATCTGCCTTTGGCTTAGAGGCAGCTACAAAGACACACAATGAATTCCTGTTTACTGAAGTTGCCTGACTCTCAGAAAGCTTGCAGTGGACCTGAGAGTTATGGTGGCTTTTCTCAATCTCTGCTCTTTCAACATACTGAATGGTTTCCCAATCTTCTAGCTCCTTGTGTTAAATATTTTCCTTCTTGGATTACTTAGAGAGTTTCTTTTTTTTCTAATTAAAGCATACATTTTTTATATATATATATATGGGAGGATATGCCACATACATATTTTAAGTATTATATAATCAAAATTACACATATAAGAGATTCTTTAAACATTAACTATTACAGGAAGTTATCAAAATTTATTTTCCTTTCTCATACTACCATGTCCCTTGCCTTGATATTGCTGTAGCTTCATCTGAGATGTTTACAAAAGAGGGTAATTTTTTCACTCCTGCTGTTTATGGAGGCCACCATCTTAGGGCCTGTGGCATATTAGCTCTACTTTATACTTCCTGAAAAGCCACAGCCCATAACATTTTCTTCCTGCTTTCATCAGATGTCTGTCTCCCCATGTACAATATGCGGGACCTTCTCTGATTTCCTCTGGGAGAACTGGGTCTTTGTTAAAGGATATATAGACAGAAAAGTCTTGATTCCTATTATGTATCTTGTAGAAAAAGTTCACAAAAGGTTGTTTTCTGTTCTTTTTGCTTCTAATGGTTTAATTCGTTCTTCTAGTGGTCTAATTCCTTCTCTGTAATACATTCTGGTACTACAACTGAGGTATGTAGGTAAGTAGATTGATAAAGATGATGATATGGGTACAGAAAAAGGCTACCTATTCCCAAGAACCAACTTCATGCCAAATACTATAGGAAGCATTTTCATAATAATAACAGCTGATGGTTTTTAGTGCATAGTATATTCAGGGCACTATGCTAAGGGGTTGATAATCATTATCATGTTAAATCATTAAGCATTTCTAATAAGGTAAGTATTGTGGTCATTTCTATTTTACTGTTGAAAAAAAACAGACTTTAAAAAAGTTAAAAAATATTCTAGCAGTCAGAGTTACTATGTATTAATAATACAACTAGGTTTCAAACCCAGGTCTATGTGGCTCTGTAATTCATATTTTTTTATACTAATTGATTCTGAGACTTATATTTGTGCAATATATTTAAAGAGTCTATAGTTCCCTTCCATATAGTTTTTTTTTTTTTTGAGACAGAGTCTCTCTCTGTCACCCAGGCTGGAGTGCAGTGGTGCAATCTCGGCTCACCCCAACCTCCACCTCCTGGGTTCAAGTGATTCTCCTGCCTCAGCCTCCCAAGTGGATAGGACTACAGGTGTACGCAACCATGCCTGGATAATTTTTGTATTTTTAGTAGAGGCCGGGTTTCACTATGTTGGCCAGGCTGGTCTCAAACTCCTGACCTCAAATTATCCACCCACCTCAGCCTCCCGAAGGGTTGGGATTACAGGCGTGAGTACCACAGTTCCCTTCCATATTATTCCAACCCATCTTCCATTGCCACAGGGTGTTATTTTTTCATAAGCAAATAAACACAGCTACTTTTTTCTCCTAATTCTTCAGTAGTTCTCCATTACCTACACTGTGCAATCTATATACTCTTATGCTTGGCTCAAAAGGCACTTTGCAATTTAACCTTTTAAGCTATTGAGTCTTAGTTTCCTTTACTTCCTCTAAACTTCGTATTATTCTAACATGTTTTTCCCTCAGTCTAAAATGCTTATAGGACAGGAAAACTCTTAATGGTTCTCAAGTCCTGCCTCAAAATATCACATTCTCTGTAAAGGTTTTATTGATTTGATTTCTTCCAGAAGACTTAGACAGAACTTCGCCTCTACTCTCATTGCTTCTTGTGCATTTATTTGTGTTAGCTAAATATCATGATGAATATCAAAGCGTATAGTCCTGTCTCGAACTTTTGGTAAAGTTACTTAATTTCTCGGTTCTTCACTTGTCACTTTGGGGACAATAACAGAACTTCTGTCATAGGTTTCTCTTGATGATTAAATAAGAATGCCTATGTAAATGACTCAACAGAATGCCTGGCACACAGGAAATGCTCATCAAAACGTTAGTTATTACTTTTGTACTTTTATTACTAATATAAAATTAGCACATTGTAATTTTATTTATTTTGTGTTATAGCATTTCATTTTATATCATTCTACATTTTTTACAGTAAACTATTTAGATACAGTTTGTACTTACGATCAGAGAAAATCCTGTGAATATTTTAGGCATGGCTTGTAGACGAAGATCCTGTTTAGATGGTCAACAAACCAAATTTGAAAAAGTTGTTAGACTCAAAAATGAAAGTTTTTTGTTATGATGATGTACATTTGGGTTTGTATTTAAATAAGTGTGACTGAGAAGAAGTGAAGTGAAGCAGCTGAGCCTCTCTAGTGATGACAGAGAAGAACTATATTTTCAATAGTTCAGGTGCTTAAAAGGTAAAGGCACTGGCCTCCTTTTGAGAATGGCTTGGTGGAGCCACACATGCTCTTTGCCTGCTCTGTTGGCTACCATGATGTGTAAATGAACATACATCTCTTCACTGACAGGAAGAAAATGATACAATGGGGAGTTACAGACTGCTGAGATAAATTTCTAATTCTTGCTCCTTCTATTAGATCAGCCCATACTTTGTACCCTGAGTGACAGCCAGCAATAAAGTGCCCTCACGTTCTTAACCTGAAAATAAATATATGTGAATGTGCCTTGTCATTATCACCCCAAAACCTAAAAGGACCTGAGACAATTGTGGAGCCAAGTCTGTGATCTGAGTAACATCATTAGGTGTTCAGAATACACTATCATTTTACCTCCAAGTTCTTAGCAATATTCTTATCCCACATGTGTAAACCCAAAAGTATCTGAGACAGGTCTCAATCAATTTAAAAAGTTAATTTTGCCAAGGCTAAGGACATACTCATGACACAGCCTCAAGAGGTCCTGATGACATGTCCAAAGGTGATTGGGGTATGGTTTGTTTTTAGGGAGACATAATACATCCATCAATATATGTAAGATTTACATTAGTTCAATCTGGAAGGGCAGGACAACTTGAAGTGGGGGGGGGGGTGATGAGGGTGAGGGCTTCCACATCACAGTTAGATTTAAAAATGTTCTGATGGCAATTGGTTGAAAGAGTTGTTATCAATCAGAAGGAATGTCTAAGTTATAATAAGGGGTTGTGGAGACAAAGGTTTTATCATGCAGATGAAGCCTCTAGGCTTCAGAGAGAATAGATTGTAAATGTTTCTAATCAGACTTACGGTCTATGTTGATGTTAATACTGGTTGGATTTTCTTGAATTCCAAAAGGGAGAAGGGCATAATGAGGCATCTCTGACCTCTCCTTCCCATCATGGTCTGATCTAGTTTTTTCAGGTTAATTTTGGAATGCCCTTGGCCAAGAGGTTGGGTCCATTCAGAGGTTTGGTGCGGGGGGAACCTTAGAATTTTATTAGTGGTGTGCATGAGATACTGGATGAGAGAAAAAAGGAGAGAGAGAGGAGAAATAAAAAGCAGTTAAATGGAGGAAAAGGGAGGGAGATTTGGAGGTGACACTGCTCCCTTTCACTGACTGCACCATACCCATTTTTTTTTCTGCTGCCAATATCTCTAGGTTTTCTGCTAAAAGTCGTTTGTTCTCTTTTTGCATTATGACACCCTGCTGCACTCAGCTTCTATGGTAACACTTTTTTCATACTCAGAGCTGTTGTAGCAGACATAACTAAAGCTTTACTGGATGGACAAGAAGAAACTATGTTCTATTAAAGTTAGGAATGCCTGTGTGACCTGCACAGGTCTATTAAATGTGAGGAGCAGGGATGAGAGTCTTTTTGTCTGTTTTGAAAGAAGCATTTCAGAGGGGAGAACAAATGTTCATGCTCTCCTTTCCTGCAAAGGCAAATGGGGAGGCATGATGTTGAAATAGCGACCTTATTGATAAACTAAGGAAATTACTTTCAATTTAGATCCTTGAGTAACCACGATGAGTGGAGCTCCCAGGTTAACCCTTGGTGACATACAAGTGAGAAGTAATCATTATCTTAAATGACTAACATTTTTGTGTTCACTACTGCAAATAACCTCATGTATAATACTGAATATGATGACTATGCTGAATAATACAAATACACTTTTTCTTTAGGCACATTGAACCTGAAATAGATATTAGGCCTCTCATTCCAATGAAAGACCCTATTATATCAACCTCTTTGTGATCAAACAGAGAAGAAGAATTTTCTAGACATGTATTACTCATCAGGCTGACTGCTTTGGCTATGCGGGTCATTGCTACAGTGAGTTTTAGTCTGATCACACATTATTGGTCAGCTTCTCTTTCAGTATACCGACAGAAATTCTTTACCAACAACTATGCATGTGAATTACAAGGAAGAGTTTTTAGGCTCCATGTCCTATTTATAAGTAATAATCTGGAACCACAGTCTCCAACCTTTTTGGCACCAGGGACTGGTTTCAGACTGGCGGGGTTGTGGGGGTGGATAAAACTGTTCCACGTTAGATCATCAGGCATTAGTTAGATTCTCTTAAGGAGCACACATCCTATCTCCTTTACATGGCAGTTCACAATAGCATTTGTGCATCTGAGAATCTAGTGCCTGTGCTGATCTGACAGCAGGCAGAGCTTAGGCAATAATGCTAGCTGGCCTGCTGCTCACCTCCTCCTGGACAGTTGGGTTCCTACCAGGCGGTAGACTGATAGTGGTCCACAGCCTGGGGTTGGGGACCCCTGATCTAGGAGATTGTTGGTTTATGGTGGATGGCAACCAACAGTAGAATAGCCTTTATTTCTATTTGTTTCAACTCTTCTCCTGATGAAAAGTAGCTTCTAATGACGCAAAGACTTTATCCTCAGTTCAGCACCTTTCTAATAAATAATTGTATGTCCCCAAAATAATGCTATCAATTGCATTTTGTTTGGTTCATCATATTCCTAATGTGACTCAATTATAGCCAAACTCCTAATATCTGATACACTCCAGAGTTCCTTTGGCTTGAGATTGATGGAACTAAAGATTAGCTGGAACTACTCATAGATTTTTAGGAGGCTAAGCCTGTTTTTCCTTGTATTTCAGGAAACTCAATGGTGTGACGGGGCAGAGCTGTTTCATTATTTTCCAGGGCCATGTTTATGTTCATCCTGAAAAGGAAATCCTTTAAAACCTTAGCATTATTTATTTATTTATTTATTTATGCAACAAATCTTATACTATTTAATATCTTTAGTAGTTCAGGCAGTTTTCTATGTGCTGAGGGCTCTGCCCTCATGGGGATAGCAGGTAATAAACAGGAAACCAAATGAACTGAAAATGTCAGAAAGTGATAAAGGTAACAAGTGAAATATAATAGATAGATGGGCTCTACAGTGCTTGGCGGGTCCCCTTAGATTGAGTGTACAGGGGAGACTTCTTACCTTATTAGTTTGATTTAGAAATATTAGTGGCCTCCTTCAGGTGAGCTCATACCGGTATAGGTGCTGCGCAAAACAAAAACAAAAGTAGCAGAAGACAGAAAACTGCTCTCAAAGATGTCAGTGAATTTGTGAAGAACCAAATAGTTAACCAAATTGACTCCACACAGAGAACCTTATCAGCTGCCTCCAGTTTTCCACGTACCCCCACCTTCCATCTCCGATATTCAAGCCTGGTCCAAATCCAATCAAAATAGTTTGCATCAGAACAAGATGGGTTCAGGAATGTGACTAATCACAAGACCACCTGATTTTCTGCTTTTGGCTCTGAGTGATGCTCTAGTTATGGAGACATATAAAGCCTATTCACTTCAGATCTGAAAATGTCATTATCATTGTATTCACTAAACATCCTCGTTTTATCACAGTGCTTTTATTGATAGCTATGAAAAGGAGAATTATTCTTATCAAAACTAAATTTTAAAAAGAGTCAATGACAAGAAGCTCAAGTGCCTTGTAGTACCAAAGACACTGCTCTGTGTTGACAGCAATTGAAACAACTCTTCAGAAAAACTAACAGTGTGCAGTTTAAGGGGTCAACAAGCCTAATATACAGTTGGTTTGAGCTTCTCATTTTTGTCGAGGGCAGCTAGTGAGCCTCAGTGCCCGGAAAGTTAGAAATTCTCCCTCTGTGCTTCTCACACATGCTAATACAGACCATAACACTTCCCAAGCTGGACAATAACTTGGCTGACATCTGTAATCTGAAAGAGGGAAGGAAAAGGTAACCAGGATTTATTCAGTGCTTTTGATGTGCTACTCAGGCAATCTGCTAGATACTTTACATGTGTTTCCTCATTCCAGGTGTGCTTCAATTTCCAACAAGGCATCAAATTCTGCCCTTGATATACAACCTTCAGTTGTGTTCAAGTAATTCTGCAACATTTACTGGGATATAGCGGTGGCTCCATGGCTGTAGATACAGTTTATCAGTACAGGAGTGGAATGTGCATACCCACACAAGAGAAGTAAAATACATGCTCCTAAAGGGAACTAAAGCAGCACATTTACAGAATTCTGTTCTAGAAATTATATTCAGGAGATGAAGAACCCTACATTTTTATGGTATTCAAATTGTACATACAAAACCTCTTTATTTAAAACAATAGAGAAGGAAGAATGAGGAAAGAAAGCAAAAAAAAAAAAAAAGGATTCTATCATCTTGCTTCCTATTAAAAAAAAAACCCCTTTTTTTATGTTAAGATTAGCAAAGAAAAGATAATGTCAATACTGGGAGAAGATGGAGGGAAAAGCTAAATACTGGAACATACGTGAAAGTCTCTCTGGCATACGCCCTCAGGCTAGGACATAAATTAAACCATTCCCAAGGGTTGCCTGCAAGAGCAGACAGTCTATTAAGGCAAGGTTTAGAGACTAATTTATTGTCTTTGTTTTTGTTGTCTCTTTTTGTAACTAAAACATATTGGACTTTTTCCCCCCATATTTTCATTTGAACCAAGGTTATGAAAGTAATCTGAATTGTATATCAGCCATTTTACATCCTCATGAAATCTTTCAATATGACACAGTTGGAAGTGAATGATTGTGTGAGGTATGTTTAGAATAGTAAAGCTGTACCAGAAAACGTGAATTGCATTTTTTTCCATTTATCCATAAATTAATTCCCCAAGTACTCAGGTGTATGTAGAAATTGTTGAGTTTTCTTCACTGGTTAATTATTGACCAAAATTCTATTAATATTTACATACATCATTCAGGCATTATTTTCTGATGTGGATTATATCTCAAGAAATAAAATATGAGCCTCTAGGGTAATTGAAAAACCTCTACATTTTACAATTATCAGATAAAGTCTAAAGTGATAGATAATGCCTTTAAAACACCCGGGAAGCCATTATTTCTAAAAATATATTGTAAACTAAGCATGATTTTATTTTGCAAGGTTTCAAAGCTATAAATCAATTTATGGTTGCCACTATTAATTTAACCTATTGTTGTTTCACATTCCCTATTTCTAAGGAGGTGATAATAATAACCCCTCTGTATCTCATAGGGACTCTTATGAAGATAAATGGGAAAATATATGTGAGCATTCTTTGAACTACTTTAAAGGGAGTATGTGTGTAAATAAATATATATATATATATATAAAATATATATATAAATAGCCATCATTGTTTTTGAGGAACTACAGAATGAAAATTTAATACAATTTTTATTTTAAATACATATACAACTTCATATTTTCATTTAAAAAAATTAATTTACCACACCTCTGATATAGGTAAATCAGAATAAATACTATTGATTTTTTCCTCTTCATTGCCCTCTTCAGTTCATTATTTTTGAACACTCTAGTAAGACTTCATGGGCCAGGATTCACTGGTGTATTTTCTGAGCTGTGGAGCCCAAACCCAGAAACACACCCACACCCTTCTTTCCTGTATTACAATTATAGACAGTTAAGTCAATGACTGTGTGAAGTTAACGAATTGTATTCTTAGCATCAATTTCTAAAAGTCATTGTGTTACCATCCTTAATATTAATTGTGCCGTTTTCAATCCACCATTTTGCCCATAAATAGAGAGAAGCAATGAGGCATGTTGTAAGAAATAACAGGTAATTCATTGATCCCTCTATCAGAGTCAGCATTTTTATGCAATAGGGATAGTTGTGGGAATTGTAAAGATGTGGCTGCAAGTGGGTTGAATTTGTTTTTTTCTATGGCTTTAGAAGGCAGTCTCAGCTGGGTTCAGCCCCCAGTTGAATTGTGGTTTCATGGTTTCAAGGTCATCAATAGTTGGAAAATGAATACAGATTAATCTAGGGAACTGAATTTAATTCTTATTACCCTGGAGAAATAGCACTGGGAATTGATGCTATGCCTGCTTGACTAATAGATCCTTCTTCTGTTCTCCCAAGTCACCTTGTCTACAGAAATATTTTCACTTGGACAGATAAATAATCTAGACAATGACATGCATCCTTTTAAAAGACCAAAAATAGGGATTGTATGATTTTAAACCTAGCAACTAGAATGGTGGTGAAATGAACAAATGCAGTATAAAATATGCTTATATGAATAAATGAATTACTTGGAAAAATATTCATTAACCACTTTAGATATCAATTTCAAAAAATGTCCTTTGGGTATATGCCCAGTAAGGGAATTGCTGGTTCAGATGGTATTTCTGGTTCTGCATCTTTAAGGAATTGCCACATCCTCTCCCACAGTGGTTGAACTAATTTACATTCCCACCAATAGTGTAAAAGCATTCCTATTTCTTCACAACCACACCAGCATCTTTTGTTTCTTGACTTTTTAATAATCACCATTCTGACTGGCATGAGATGGTATCTCATTGTGGTTTTGATTTGCATTTCTCTAATGATCAGTGATGTTGAGCTTTTTTTTCATGTTTGTTGCCTGCATGAATGCCTTCTTTTAAGAAGTGTCTGTTCATGTCCTTTGCCCACTTTTTAAACGGGTTATTTGGGTTTTTTGTTTGTTTGTTTGTTTTATAAATTTGTTTATGTTTCTTTTAGATTCAAAGGAATATAAATCATCCTATTATAAAGATACATACACACATATGTTCATTGCAGCACTATTCACAATAGCAAAGACATGGAATCAACCCAAATGCCCAACAATGATAAACTAGATAAAGAAAATGTGGCACATATACCATGGAATACTATGCAGCCATAGAAAGGAATAAGATCATGTCCTTTTCAGGGATGTGGATGGAGCTAGAAGCCATTAACCTCAGCAAACTAACAAGGGAACAGAAAACCAAACATCACGTGTTCTCACTTGTAAGTGAGAGCTGAACAATGAGCACACATGGAGACAGGGAAGGGAACAACACACACTGGGGCCTGTCGTGGGGTGGAGTTGGGGGAAGGAGTGCATTAGGAAAAACAGATAATGTATGTTGGGCTTAACACCCAGGTGATGGGTTGATGGGTGCAGCAAACCACCACAGCACACGTTTACTTATGTGACAAACCTGCAGGTGCTGTACATGTACCCCAGAACTTAAAATAAAAATATTTTTTAAAAAAAGAAAAATGTCACTGTTCTTATAATCTGAGGTCAGATAAAATTAGAAAACAGAGACTTGGAAAGGAATTTCAGAGAAATGGTGGAATTTGAATTGATTGCTTTGTTGGGGAAGAGGGAGCATCTTATTAGGCTATTTTGTTACACACAAATAAAGCAAGGGCTCTGCCTCCTGTTTCTGTTTTTGAAGAAAATTGGGACAATTACTTGGTCCATTTTAATCAGAGCTATAACCGCTCTATTTCTGAAGACTTGTTTTTTTCTTTGTCCAAAATATCTTTCTCTCTCTTCTCTCTCCCTCTCTTTCTCTCTCTCTCTCTCTCTCACACACACACACACACACACACACACACAGAGAAAAAGAAAATTGGTTCAGCAGGATGATTTGCAGTAGCAAAGTATTTGTTTTTGTAAAGATCATGTATTCTTCTTTGGACAGTTACTCAGAAAATAAAAACCAGAGCCTTAGACACTGAGGATCAGAATTATTTCAAGTTTTACCAGGCGTAAATGGTGGATGCAGCACTTAAGAGGGCTCTACATGTTACAAACACTAGTCAAGCCCCAAGAAGGGCTCTTTCACATCTCTTGTCAAAACAAAGACAACTGCTGTTAGTAGGTATGGAGGTTTATGAGTGATGCTGCTGTTGAAGTTGAGACAGTTGAGGAGATAAATTGAGTGGTGAAGAGTGGTGAACGGAAAGAGAAAAGATAAATTAACTAACTTGTGGAATTCCTTTTCTTAGGCATACAAGACCTTGCCTAACAAAATACTATTTCCCAGGCATTCTGAGTGTCCATTTACTCACCTCCCATTCCAATTTGCAGTCTCAGCAGTACTTTCAAAATGTGCAGTATTTATGAGAGTCACCAATGAAGGCTGAAAAACATTTTATGATACCATTCATATTTCTCTTAAATTTGAATTCACATTGGTCTGTATTTATACTCTACAATGTGGTAGTTGCTAGCCAATGTGACCACTGAACACTTGAAGTGAGGCTGGCCCAAAAGGCTGCAAGTACAAAATAAACACTGAATTCTGAAGACTTACTGTGAGAAAAAAAAGAATGGCATAGATCTTAATAAGGTTTTATATTGATTTTATATTGAAATGACATTGCCTTTAGATATGTTGACTAAAATATAATGCATCCTTAAAATTTTACCTCTTATTTTTACTTTTTTCATTTTTTCAAAATTACTTATGTGGCTCACATTATATTTCTACTGGACAGTGCTTGAAGTTTTAAAAATGGTTAATTTTTTCATTGTATTAAATTAGTTAAAAAATTGTCAAGGGGAAGCTCATGAAATAGTGCTAAATGTATCTCTTAAAAACAAATATGTACTTCCAGAATTGTAGACAAAAAGCTAGAATCATTCTTTGTGCTATATATGGGCTTATTTTGACCTCTATCAAAGAAATGTGTCTTCAGCTATGCCAACAGCGTAAACATTTTTTGGATATAGTTCATAAAATAAAAATACCAAATGCCACATTATAACCACTCTCAGACACGCTATGAAAATATCAAGCATGTGCTGTTGAAACAATATACACTAGAGGAATTAGAGAAAACAACAGAAGGTTCTCAAATAACGAATGAATAGTGAAACCACCCTAAACTCAAGTGCTGAGAAGAGGGGATACTTAAAGCTCTCATTCTGTTTTGGGAGGAATTTGCGGAATTTCTATATTTCATATATTATCCAACTATTACACCAACCCATGATCTTGTTAAATGAAGTTCATTATTCCGTGCCTTGACCCAGAAAACTTAAATTCTAAAGGACCTACCTTAAGCACAGAATTCTTCCTTGACAAATTCCATGATACATCTGAGAATCTCATGCAATATGTATAAGTATGGGATTGTACCTTTGAAATTAAAAAAATTGTATATTATTGTGGTGAAAATTTGAGGTTTCAATGTTTATTAATATTTTTAATTTACCCGTAATGTTATACAGCTGGTGCTCAAAATTGTTGTATATTTGCTGCATAAACTTTAATTGCAGAATATGTTTATGATGTATCAAAAATCCCCACTGGGCTTGTTATAAATAATTGGATAGGTATTAAACATATTAAAACAATCTTTTAAATGCCAAGAACAACAACAAAAAATAGTGAAGTGTGAAAGAAATCAAATCAACCTTGAGTCTGTACTATCTGCTGTTGCTTAGTATAAATTGTTGTTTGCCATTGATAATGTTGGCAATCAGTTCAAAATTTACTTAAATTTAAGATCGGCTACTTCAGTTTTTGACAGGATAAGGTACACTATGTAAAAATTTAGGGAAAATGTTGTTTCTAAACTTAAAAAATGCGTGAGAAAATGTCAACAAAACTGATTTCCTAATAAAATAGGAAGACATTAAATAAATGAAAAATATTTGCATGATGATGATGAAGAAAAAGATTCATATACAAATAAACAGAAACTAATTTCTATTTAAAAAAAAATGCTTCTAGGCTGGGCACAGTGACTCACACCTGTAATCCCAGCCCTTTTAGAGGCCAAGGCGGTCAGATCACGAGGTCAGGAGATCAAGACCATTCTGGCTAACCCCGCCTCTACTAAAAAACAAAAATTAGCCGGGTGTGGTGGTGGGCACCTGTAGTCCCAGCTACTCAGGAGGCTGAGGCAGGAGAATGTCGTGAACCTGGGAGGCCGAGGTTGCAGTGAGCCGAGATGGCACCACTGCACTCCAGCCTGGGTGACAGCCAAACTCTGTCAAAAACAAAAAACAAAAAACAAAAAATAGCTTTCTATTATAAATTTAAGTTATACTCCTAATGCAGGAAGATTTGAGTCATATAGTTCTATTTAAAATTTTCTTTATACTATTCTAGCATTGAAGAATTAGGAAGAATCAAGAAACATGTATCGTTTTAGATGATGCATTATGAGGGTAAAATCTTGATATAAGTAATATAAAATTATATAATTGAATTAAATATTTATGTGATAGTTTCTGTAAAGCATTAATTTTTCAAATGTTACCCTTATTACAATGTTTTAGCATATAATTTTATAGGGTAGTTCCAAATATAAATATTGCTTTATAGCTTTATTAATAATTTCATATACTTTTTCAAAATGAAGTTATTAAAATAAACCCTAAGCATTATGATGATTCAGAAAAGATTGTCTAATTTTGTCTTACTGTCAAAAGAATACAAATTATGTGAAAGCCATGATTATAACAATATATGAGTAACTTTGTTGATATGAATGCAATAAATATAATATATAAAATAAAAACGACTGATAAATATATATACATATATATGTTTTGCTTATTAACCATACAAATACTTTACTCTTTTTAATGAAGCAGCCAAGAATGTGTTATAATAATTTAAATTTGGTCATTTAAAACATTTTTTGACCTTTAATAATAAAGAATTACTAAAGTTTAATACATATTTTTCAATGTGTTCATTATAAAGGGATGCTTGTTAAAAAAGAACAGTGTACTATTTTCATGTAATAGTCTGAAATTCAGATTTCTAACTTGTACCTATTTGGTCATATTGTATGTGAATCTACATTTGTGATGTTCCCCAGGTCCCACAAGTATCAGTTGTAAACCTGGTAGTGATATTAGATCTGAAGGAAGTGACCATTTCCATTTTTATTAATCATGTTGAAAAAAAGAATGTCAAAGTATAATTTTCTAAAAGAAAAAATGTAACTCAAAAAACACAAAGTGAGCTCACATTAAAAATCTTAAGGAGGAATTAAACCAAAGGATAAATTTGTTCAAAGTAGTATAGAAAAGACCAAAGTATGTATAGTTAAAGAAAGAGAAAAAATGCTGAAATTATGTTGCTAAATTAAATACAAAATGATTTAATGTGCTCCAGGACCAAAACAACTAAGCTTTATGGTTATTTTTTCTATAAGATAGAAATTATTTGCATCTGAACTAGATAAAAATCATTTGCAATTTAACAGCCTTCTGAAGGTTAATATCTTACTGCACAGAGTTTGGTACTTTATCAATAGTAAATAGTAAATCAAATGAAACTGTATAATCTTAGAGAATTAGATAAACCTGGGGCAGATCTGTTAGTGCTTGTTTAGGCCTCAAGAAGAAGATGCAGTCATCCTTTTACATCCTAGATTTTAAATACTTTTCTTAGCAAGGAAAAGGAAATAAAGTCTGGGAAATTCAGTCTTAAGTTGAAGTGAGCAAGGGAATCCTTCCTTAAATGAGACTTGGGGCAACCCCTCCCCTTATATGGGAGCTCTGTTTTCACTCTTTTTCACTCTAATAAATCTTGCAACTGCACTCTTCTGGTTCGCGTTTTGCCATCGCAGACCCACCGCTGACTTCCAGCCCTCCGGATCCGGCAGGGTGTCCGCTGTGCTCCTGATCCAGCAAGGCGCCCATTACCACTCCCCATTGGGTTAAAGGCTTGCCATTGTTTCTGCACAGCTAAGTGCTCGGGTTCATCCTAATCGAGCTGAAGGCTAATCACTGGTTCCATGGTTCTCATCTGTGACCCACAGTGTCTAATAGAGCTATAACACTCACCACGTGGCCCAAGATTCCATTCCTTGGAATCTGTGAGGCCAAGAACCCCGGGTCAGAGAACACGAGGCTTGCCACCATCCTGGAAGTGGCCTGCCGCCATTTTGGAAGCAGCCCACCACCATCTTGGGAGCTCTGGGAGCAAGGACCCCCCGGTAACATTTTGGCGACCACGAAGGGACCTCCAAAGCGGTGAGTAATATTGGACCACTTTCGCTTGCTATTCTGTCCTATCCTTCCTTAGAATTGGAGGAAAATACCGGGCACCTGTCAGCCAGTTAAAAATGATTGTGTGGCCACCAGACTTAAGACTCAGGTGGGAGGCTATCTAGGAAAGGGCTTTCTAACAACCCCCAACCCTTGTGGGTTGGGGGCATTGGTCTGCCTGGAGCCAGCTTCCACCTTCAATTTTCTTGGGGAAGCCAAGGGACTAGAGGCATAAAGCTGTCATCCCGAACTCCCGGCATTAGCTGAGATCATGGCACAGCCAGAAGCCTCTACTCAACAGTCACCCATGCGTGCGTCTCTACCTTTCCTTCTGACCTATACCTCCTGGGTCCCAACCATGAAAATCTTGAAAGTGTAGCCCCAAAATTCTCCTTGCCTCTGAATCTTCCTCTGATCGCATTTCCTCTAGCAAGTTGTATCTCCAAGGGGATCTAAGGAAGCTCTAGGCTGTGTCCTTAGGCATCTAGATGATAAACCCAGGGAGTCTTATCCCTGGTGTCCCTCCTGATTTAGGTATACAGCTCTCAACATGGGCAGTTATGTAGGACCCATTCCCCACCACACTTGCCAGGGCCACAAGTTTGTAATGGCTCTGAGAGAGAGACAGAGAGAGAGAGAGACAAAGAGGGAGTCAAAGAGAAAAAAAAAGAAAAAGATAGAAATAGTAAAAAAGTATGCCCTACTCCTTTAAAAGCCAGGGTAAATTTAAAACCTGTAATTAATTATTGAAGGTTTTCTCCGTGATCCTATAACATTCCAATACTACCTTGTTGTCAGTGTAAACAAGGGCGTAGCCTGAGAACACTGAGGCCACTGACAACCCGGAGCTTTCCTATCAAAAATCCTTAACCCAGCAGATATCCTAACAAGGGATTTAAATCTTAATTACCATACAAAGGTCCGACCAGACCTAGGAGGAATTCCCTTCAGGACAGGATGATAGATGGTTCCTCCCAGGTGATTGAGAAAAAAACCAGTGGGTATTCAGTAATTGATACAGAGACTCTTGTGGAAGCAGTTAGAAAAATTGTCTAATAATTGGTGTCCTCAAACATGCGAGCTGTTTGCACTCAACCAAGCTTTAAAGTACTTACAGAATCAAAAGACTCAACTTATATTCTTCTGCAGTACCGCCTAGCCACGATTTCTTCTTCAAGGGGGAGAAACCTGGCCTCCTGAAGGAAGTATTATTTATAACACCATCTTACACTAGACCTCTTTTGTAGAAAAGAAGGCAAATGGAGTGAAATGTCATATGTACAAACTTTCTTTTCATTAAGAGACAACTCGCAATTATGTAAAAAGTGTGATTTATGCCCTACAGGAAGCCCTCAGAGTCTACCTCCCTACCCCAGAGCCCCCTGGCTTCTTCCCCAACTAATAAGGACCCCCTTCAACCCATTTGGTCCAAAAGGAGATAGACAAAGGGGTAATCAGTGAACCAAAGAGTGCCAATATTCCCCAATTATGCCCCCTCCAAGCAGTGGGAGGAGGAGAATTTGGTCCAGCCAGAGTGCATGTACTATTTTCTCTCTCAGACTTAAAGCAAATTAAAATAGACCTAGGTAAATTCTCAGATAACCCTGATGGCTATATTGATGTTTTACAAGGGTTAGGACAATCCTTTGATCTGACATGGAGAGGTATAATGTTACTGCTAGATCAGACACTAACCCCAAATCAGAGAATTCCTGCCCTAACTGCAGCCCGAGAGTTTGGAGATCTCTGTTATCTCAGTCAGGTCAATGATAGGATGACAATAGAGAAAAGAGAATGATTCCCCACAGGCCGGCACGCAGTTGCCAGTGTAGACCCTCATTGCGACACAGAATCAGAACATGGAGATTGGTGCCGCAGACATTTGCTAACTTGAGTGCTAGAAGGACTAAGGAAAACTAGGAAGAAGCCTATGAATTATTCAATGATATCCACTGTAACAGAGGGAAAGGAGGAAAATCCTCCTGTCTTTCTGGAGAGACTAAGGGAGGCATTGAGGAAGCATGCCTCCCTGTCACCTGATTCTATCGAAGGCCAACTAATCTTAAAGGATAAGTTTATCACTCAGTCAGCTGCAGACATTAGGAAAAAACTTCAAAAGTCTGCCTTAGGCTCAGAGCAAAACTTAGAAACCCTATTGAACTTGGCAACCTCAGTTTTTTATAATAGAGATCAGGAGGAGCAGGCAGAGCAGGACAAATGAGATAAAGTAAAAGGCCACTGCTTTAGTCATGGCCCTCAGGCAAGCGGACTTTGGAGGCTCTGGAAAAGGGAAAAGCTGGGCAAATTGAATGCCTCATAGGGCTTGCTTCCAGTGTGCTCTACAAGGACACTTTTAAAAAGACTGTCCAAGTAGAAGTAAGCTGCCGCCTCATCCATGCCCCATATGTCAAGGGAATCACTGGAAGGCCCACTGCCCCAGGGCATGAAAGTCCTCTAAGTCAGAAGCCACTAACCAGATGATCCAGCAGCAGGACTGAGGGTGCCCAGGGCAAGCGCCAGCCCATGCCATCACTCTCACAGAGCCCTGGGTATGCTTGACCATTGAGGGCCAGGAGGTTAACTGTCTCCTGGACACTGGTGAGGACTTTTCAGTCCTACTCTCCTGTCCCGGACAACTGTGCTCCAGATCTGTCACTATCCAAGGGGTGCTATGACAGCCAGTCACTAGGTACTTCTCCCAGCCATTAAGTGGTGACTGGGGAACTTTACACTTTTCACATGCTTTTCTAATTATGCCTAAAAGCCCCACTCCCTTGTTAGGGAGAGACATTCTAGCAAAAGCAGGGGCCATTACACACCTGAACAGAGGAGAAGGAACACCCATTTGTTGTCCCCTGCTTAAGGAAGGAATTAATCCTGAAGTCTGGGTAACAGAAGGACAATATGGACGATCAAAAAATGCCCATCCTGTTCAAGTTAAACTAAAGGATTCCTCCTCCTTTCCCTACCAAAGGCAGTACCCCCTCAGACCTGAGGCCCAATAAGGACTCCAAAGGATTGTTAAGGACCTAAAAGCCCAAGGCCTAGTATAAACCATGTAATAGCCCCTGCAGTACTCCAATTTTAGGAGTACAGAAACCCAACGGACAGTGGAGGTTAGTGCAAGATCTCAGGATTGTCAATGAGGTTGTTGTTCCTCTATACCCAGCTGTACCTAGCCCTTATACTCTGCTTTCCCAAATACCAGAGGAAGCAGAGCGGTTTAAAGTCCTGGACCTTAAGGATGCCTTTTCTGCATCCCTGTACATCCTGACTCTCAATTCTTGTTTGCCTTTGAAGATCCCTCAAACCCAACATCTCAACTCATCTGGATTGTTTTACCCCAAGGGTTCAGGGATAGCCCCCATCTGTTTGGCCAGGCATTAGCTCAAGACTTGAGCCAATTCTCATACCTGGACACTCTTGTCCTTTGGTACATGGATGATTTACTTTTACCCACCTGTTCAGAAACCTTGTGCCATCAAGCCACCCAAGTGGTTTTAAATTTCCTCGCCACCTGTGGTTACAAGATTTCCAAACCAAAGGCTCAGCTCTGCTCACAGCAGGTTAAATACTTAGGGCTAAAATTACCCAAAGGCACCAGGGCCCTCAGTGAGGAACGTATCCAGCCTATACTGGCTTATCCTCATCCCCAAACCCTAAAAGCAACAAAGAGGGTTCTTTGGCATAACAGGCTTCTGCCGAATATGGATTCCCAGGTACGGCAAAATAGCCAGACTATTATATACACTCATTAAGAAAACTCAGAAAGCCAATACCCATTTAGTAAGATGGACAGCTGAAGCAGGAGCGGCTTTCCAGGCCCTAAAGAAGGCCCTAACCCAAGTCCCAGTGTTAAGCTTGCCAATGGGGCAAGACTTTTCTTTACATGTCACAGAAAAAACAGGAATAGCTCTAGGAGTCCTTACACAGGTCCAAGGGATGAGCTTGCAACCTGTGGCATACCTGAGTAAGGAAATTGATGTAGTGGCAAAGGGGTGGCCTCATTGTTTATGGCCAGTGGTGGCAGTAGCAGTCTTAGTATCCGAAGCAGTTAAAATAATACAGGGAAGAGATCTTACTGTGTGGATATTTCATGATGTGAATGGCATACTCACTGCTAAGAGAGACGTGTGGCTGTCAGACAACTGTTTGCTTAAATATCAGGTTCTATTACTTGAAGGGCCAGTGCTGCGACTGCTCACTTGTGCAATTCTTAACCCAGCCACATTTCTTCCAGACAATGAAGAAAAGACAGAACACAACTGTCGACGAGTAATTGCTCAAACCTACATCGCCCGAGGGGACCTTTTAGAGGTTCCCTTGACTGATATTGACCTCAACTTATACATTGATGGAAGTTCCTTTGGAGAAAAAGGACTTCAAAAAGTGGCGTATGCAGCAGTCAGTGATAATGGAATACTTGAAAGTAATGCCCTCACTCCAGGAACTAGTGCTCAGCTGGCAGAACTAATAGCCCTCACTCAGACGCTAGAATTAGGAGAAGGAAAAATGGTAAATACGTATACAGACTCTAAGTATGCTTACCTAGTCCTCCATGCCCACACAGCAATATGGAGAGAAAGGGAATTCCTAACTTCTGAAGGAATGCCTATGAAACATCAGGAAGACATTAGGAGATTATTATTGGCTGTACAGAAACCTAAAGAAGTGGCAGTCATACACTGCCAGGGTCATCAGAAAGGAAAGGAAAGGGAAATAGAAGGGAACCGCCAAGTGGATATTGAAGCCAAAAAAGCCACAAGGCAGGACCCTCCATTAGAAATGCTTATAGAAGGACCCCTAATATGGGGTAATCCCCTCTGGGAAACCAGCCCCAATACTCAGCAGGAGAAATAGAATGGGGAACCTCACAAGGACATAGTTTTCTCCCCTCAGGATGGCTAGCCATCAAAGAAGGGAAAATACTTTTGCCTGTAGCTAATCAATGGAAATTACTTAAAACCCTTCACCAAACCTTTCACTTAGGCATTGATAGCACCCATCAGATGGCCAAATCATTATTTACTGGACCAGGCCTTTTCAAAACTATCAAGCAGATAGTCAGGGTCTGTAAGTGTGCCAAAGAAATAATCCCCTGCACTGCAGGCCATACATTTCAATCCCTGTATCTTTAACCTCCTTGTTAAGTTTGTCTCTTCCAGAATCGAAGCTGTAGAACTACAAATAGTTCTTCAAATGCAGCCCCAGATGCAGTCCATAACTAAGATCTACCACGGACCCCTGGACTGGCCTGCTAGCCCATGCTCTGATGTTAATGACATCAAAGGCACCCCTTCCAAGGAAATCTCAACTGCACAACCCCTACTATGCCCCAATTCAGCAGGATGCAGTTAGAGCGGTCGTCAGCCAACCTCCCCAACAGCACTTGGGTTTTCCTGTTGAGATGGGGGACTGAGAGACAGGACTAGCTGGATTTCCTAGGCCAACTAAGAATCCCTAAGCCTAGCTTGGAAGGTGACCGCATCCACCTTTAAACATGGGCTTGCAACTTAGCCCACACCCAACCAATCAGAGAGCTCACTAAAATGCTAATTAGGCAAAAACAGGAGGTAAAGAAATAGCCAATCATCTATTGCCTGAGAGCACAGCGGGAGGGACAAGGATCAGGATATAAACCCAGGCATTCAAGCCGGCAACGGCAACCCCCTTTGGGTCCCTTCCCCTTATATGGGAGCTCTGTTTTCACTCCATTTCACTCTATTAAATCTTGCAACTGCAAAAGAAAAAAAAAAAAGAGACCTGGATAGTAAGCCAGGGCTCTGAAAATAGACAGACTTGAAAACATTCTATGTAGTAAGAGTAACCTGGCCCCAGCCACGTAGAGGCAAGACAGAAACCGGGCCAGGAGGTGCCCTGTGACTGGGACTCTTCAAGCATGGTCTGGGCTAGTACTCTCCCAAAGCAGCTTTATGTCATGATAATTGTAATTTATTCTGTGTTTTGATCACCTCTCTATATCTCCAGTCTTTAGTGGAATACTGCCCAGTCTTGTCTTTAGATATGTTGTGGGAAATTAAAGCAAGGTCCGTTCCATGTTTGGGTTAGGTATTCACTTATGGCATGGAGAGAAAGGGGTGAGACAGTGTTTGTCCTCATACTGAGGCCAGTATGATGGTAACAGCAGTCAGTGGCTTAAGGGAGGATGAGGGAAGGAAATCTATATGAAATTATGAATTAACATTGTTGGGTACATTAAAAAGAGGAGCCATATAGGCCCAGCTCGGCCAATGGCAGTGGCAAATGAAGAATAGGTCGTATGAAAAGCTAGTGAGGTGCTTACCAGAAATATTTAGAAGGGGACCCTGGAAAAGACTAGCTTTTCCCTTTGGATATATGAATGAGGGCCCAGAGCACCTATGCTTGTTGAATTGTAGTATAATTGAGGTAGGAGGTGAAGTACAGACACCAGACTAAATTGAGGACTAGCTAAAACAGGTCCTGGATGGAAGCCTTTCCCCATAAGACATCCTCACCAGCCTGCCATGTCAGTTTACCACTGCCATGGCAACACCCAAAAGTTACCACCCCTTTCCATGGTAATGACCCCAAAACCTAGAACTTACCACGGTCTTCCTAGAAATTTCTGTATAAACGGCCCTTTAATTTGCATATAATTTAAGGTGGATATAAGTATGAGTGCAGAACTGCCTCTCGACTGCTACTCTGGGTTCCCTGGCTGTGGGGCAGTCCTGCTCTGCTGCTGCTGTACACTGGTGCTTCGGTAAAAGTTCCTGTTTAGTACTACCAGGCTTGCCTTTTAATTCTTCTCTGAGTGAAGCCAAGAACACTCCCCAGTTAAGCCCCACTTTTGCAGTTTGCCTCTCTTGCATCACAATGACTGCAGGTATGAACTCTAGAATCATATGACCTGGGTTCAAATGATAATTCCACCTCTTAATAGCTATGTCAATTTTGATCATATTACCTAGCTTCTTTATTCTTCAGTTTCTCCGTCAGTAAAAGAGGGATAAAGCCATATATACCACACAGGGTTGTTATGAAAATTAAATGCGTATCTATCTACCATCTATCTTCAAATAGTGTCTGTTATACCGTCTGCTTTTTGATTATTTTTCTCTTGGCATAGGTGCCATTTCTGACCCCCTATGTTCACTTTTGAATTGTAAGAGTGACAGCCTGCAAACTCTATTTCCGTTACTAGTTAAGAGACTGTAAAGTAGGAGGAAGAGAGATACCAGTTTCCTACCTTTGGAGATGGCCTCAGCAGAAATAGCAGCAGTGTCAGATGAGCTCCTCAGCAGCAGTGTGGCTCCCAGGTGCTCACTAAACTGCAATACCAGCAGGAGCAGAGCCACCAGCCAAGAAGTGGAAAGGCGGACTACAGACCAGGAGTCATAACAACTCCATACCCATGAATAACTACCTGTACTCTTTGGTTCACCCAGCCCTTCCAAGCACTTTGTAACTAATTCCCTGCATTAAATCCCCCTGCAGTTGAAATATTTTCCTTACTGATGGACACAGCTACCGCTATTACTAACCATTTAGAGTAATCTTGCTATTATTATCCTCTGAAACATTACCCAAGGACCAATACTATCCTCTGAAATATTACCTAAGGACCCAAGTATGAATATAACCTTCGTACTCATTTTTCCACTCAACTATTCTAATACTTTTCCCCACAGACTTTGTCCTTGGCCCAGGAGTATTATATAATGAATGGTCAATAGTTATATGTACTGGTGTTTCATCTAAATACTCCACTGTAGGTTTAGCTCCTTCACTGATCAATAACCTAATGGGAGGAGAGATTTAGTTCATTTGAAGTCAGTCTAAGAAGTTCACTGGAGTTCTATTTTGGAGAATAGATGTAAGGAAGCAAACGTGCCTAGAAACATTGTGTGATTTACCTTTAATACTTTATTTTTTTCCAGCTATGTATTGAATACCCATGACTTATAACAGTTTGAAGGAGAAAATATATACCACACAGGTAACCTTGTTTCACAGCTGAAGCAAAGTTTATTTTCAGTAGCCGTTCTGCCTTGGTAAGTGAAACTTTGATCAATGAATTTAGTGTCCAGAACTATAAATTCACAGAAGAATTTGTGAATATGAGGACTTAAAACTGAAGAATAGTTCAAAAAATGATCCAGAAAAGACAGAACTAATATAAAGGGAAAGTGTGGCTCAGAAATTGACTTAAATTATGTAAGAGATTAGTATGATTCACATTGTTTCCTTAATTTTTCTTTGATTCTTATTCTCTTTCTCTAAGGATTTAGTTCTGTGTTTAAATTGTCATATCCATCTTTCCTCATTGTCCTCTTTTAGACTCTGGAGAAGACTATTGTTAAACTTGTCATCTCAGTATACTGGCTTTTGCTGGCAAGCAAAAGACTTCTCATTAAACAGTTATGCAGATTTGTAGCTGGTTATGAACAATGTTAGCTGAAAAATGTCTTTGAATGACTCTTTCAATTAGCATACTTCATCAAACAGCTTCCTTGGCTAGTTATATTAAATTATTTTAAAAAGCCAAGAAAGCTACTTTTATTAGTTTTTTTTTGTTGTTGTTGTTGTTTGTTTGTTTTTTGAGACAGAGTCTCCCTCTATTGCCCAGGCTGGAGTGCAGTGGCACAATCTTGGCTCACTGTAATGTCTGCCTCCTGGGTTCAAGCGATTCTCCTGCCTCAGCCTCCCTAGTAACTGGGACTACAGGCATGCACCACCACACCCAATTAGTTTTTGTTGTATTTTTAGTAGAGACGGGTTTCACCATATTGGCCAGGCTGGTCTAGAACTCCTGACCTCGTGATCCACCCACCTCAACCTCACAAAGTGCTGAGATTACAGGCGTGAGCTACTGTGCCCAGCCTAATTTCTTTTTATTGATAACCTATAGTAAGTAACTGTACAATATGTGACCAAAAATAAATAAGATCAATACACAGGTATGACATGTAGAACCAGCATCACTATTACAGTTGTACCACTTACAGTATATGATTAGTCTTCATGAGATAGTCTACTACTTTCTGAGAGCTGGGAAAAAAATGCAGAGAACTGCTAGAATATAATTTGAAGAGCTGTTGACTGAAAGACAGCAGAACAGAATTAAAATAACACTGGTTTTATAATCATACCACTTAAAATTAATCCCCAACTTTTTCCTCTCTAAAGATTATTTCTCTCTCTCTCTCTCTATCGCTTTCCTCCTCTCTCACTCTCACCTTCATTCTCCCTCGCACTCTCTCCTTCACTTACATACTCACAAGCCACATATACACCCTTGAATCAGGTGCAGCAAATTATGGACTGTGGGACAAACTTGGCCTACTTTTGAAAATAGTTTTGATGAAACACAGCCATACCCATTTGTTTACATATTGTCTACAGCTCTTTTTTGCTTCAAAAGCAGTTTAGTAGTTGTAACAGTGACCATATATCTGCAAAGCCTAAGATATTTATGGTCTGACCCTTTACAGAAAATATTTGCTGGCCTCTGCTTAAGGTTATAGTAGAAGTTCAAGAAAGATCAGTCCCCTTCCTTTAGTTTGAAAAAAATATGACAGAACACTTAGTACTGTGATCTCCAATAAAAGAAAACAGGGCTGCTTGGAAAAACAGCTGATTTTATGACTGGGACAGAAAATACACAGGACGAGCCTGGAACATTTTGTAGAGCCAGAAAGTAAAGAAGTGCTAAAAAACAAAAACAAAAACAAAAAACAGAGATATGTCAACGAGATAAAGGAGACAAATGAAAGTGCTCCCAATGGCCAAAGCTAGAGCAATTCAAGTACAATAAATAAATAAAAATGGTATTGGATTATAACTTAAAGTTTAAATTAATGTCCATGAGTCTATGCTGATATAAATGACTCACTGAATAAAGAAATAAGAGGGTGACAAACAAATCTGTAGTGCAGAAGATTTCCAAGTAATTTATGTAGATGCTACCCTCAAA